CAGGTTCCTGCTCCTGTTCCATTAAATCTGTATTCACCACGCTTGCGAAAGGTTGCAAATGTCTGCCATAATTTGTTTTCCTGTGGAACATGCGTCTCATAGTGGGCAAAATTTGGAGTGCTTTTCTGTTGTTATCCAGAGTTTTTATCTTAAATGATGATTCTGAAGCTTTGATGTGAGCAAAGAATTTGAAGCAAAGAGAATCAAGTAGAGGTCACGAACTAGTGACCTATTACTGGCTAATGTACTCTGGCTATTTTTGTTTGGACAGTAGTAGCGTCCAAAAGGCGGGTTTTTGGCAGAGCTTTGAGGATATTCGTATTCCACAAAGGAGTACCTGGGTTCAGTTCTTGGCTCCAGCTTCCTGCTCATGTAGACCTTGCTGGCAGCTGCTATGGCTCAGGAAAAGACCATGAAAAGCCTAAAATATTCAATGTTATTGGAGAAAAAAATGTAAACCTGTGAAAAGGTGAAAAGCCCTGGGTTGTTGAAAATAGACAACTTGAGCCTTAGACTGTCACGGCTTGACTAAGTGTAGGCATTAAGGAACACTTTGAAGACCCAGGAGTGGATGTGCTGCTCAGAGAGGGCCATGTTGGAGGGGTCCTTGGAACTGGGACTCTTGGGTGATCTTTACGCAGACTGTCTTATTAGCTCCTTTTCGGTGGGTTAACCATTGATTTGAAAAGCCAAAAGATAGGTGCATTTGGAGATAACTACTGGTTTGCTTCCCGTATGCCCACAACAGTGAAGGTTAGGAACAGTTCAGGCAGAAGAAGCCAGGACCTGGAGATTATTAGTCAAGTTGTTGTTGTTATTATTATTATTTGAGTTGGTAAAGTTCTTTTGAGCAGGTTGGGCTTTTAAATTCTTCATTTGAAAAGCAAGGTGATAGAAGTGTTTCGTACTTTGCTGCAAATGGCTGCAGAGACAGTGGCTAGGCCAGACTGAAGTCAGGAGCCTGGAATTCCATCCACCTGGGTCTCACACATGGGTGACGGGCCCACAGACTTAGTGTCTTCGAATTTCCCAGGAGCATTAGCAGGGAGCTGGCACCCCATGGTGACTTTCAGCTCCCTGCTGATTGCCTGAAAAAAGCAGTGGAAGATGTCCCCAAGTGCTTGGACCCACGTGGGAGACCTTTAAGAGGCTCCAGGCTGTGCCCTGGCCATTGCAAACACTTGAGTGAAAAAAAGTATGTGTCCCCGTCTGTCCGTCTGTCCCCTCTGTTCCCCGCAGAGGCTGAACTGGGCCTAGGTGAAGCTAGGCACTGAACTCACTTCACATCTCTCACATGTATGACGGGAACCCAGCCACTCCCAGGGTGTGCATCTACAGGAAGCTGAAACAGCGAGTGGAGCCAGGCCCTGGCATCCAGTGGCTGCCTGTTGAAAAAGGATCTTTGTCAGTAGTCTGGCACCACCAGTGGTACTGGCATGCCATGTTGCACGCCTGGCTGCTCTACTTCCAGTCCAGCTCCCTGTTAATGGGCCTAGCAGGGCCACAGAGGATGGCCCAAGTGTTAATTGACCTTTGTCAAATCTGGGTAGGATTAAAGGAATGGCTGACAGTGTTTGTGTTTGAAAAGTATGATGTACCTTCCGTTAGACTACAATATGTAGGAAGTAGTGATAGAAGAAACAGTAAGACACAGTCTGGCATCTGTGACTTGCCATGTGGGTGGAGGAGTTCCACTTCTGAGTGAACTTCAGCTGTACCTCATGGTTCTTAGACACAACAAAAAGTAGGTAAGGTGCCTTAGCTTGTTGGGAGTCATTAACCCCCCAGGTAGATGAATAATGACTGAAGGTGAAAGCATGCTGCTGTTGAGCCATTTGACCACCCAATTATAACTGCTGCTTTTGTTTTCTCTTTTAAGATTTTGCTTTCTTCTTTAAAATTTCTTTTCTGGCTTGGCTCAGTGGCTAAAGTCCTTGCCTTGGGCACCAGTTCTTTTCCCAGCTGCTTTGTTTCCCATCCCGCTCCCTTCTTTTGCGCTGGGAAGGCAGTGGGGGCTGGCCCAAGGCCTTAGGATCCTGCACTTGTGTTGGAAACGCTAGGGGGCTCTTGGCTTTGGATCAGCTCAGCCCCAGCTGATGCAGCCACTGGGGGAGTGGACCAGTGGAAGATCTGTCTACTCCATAATCTGATCTGCCTTTCCAATGGGAATAAATCTTTATTACTCAGTTATTTTTATTGCAAAGTCAGATACACAAAGAAGAGGAGAGACAGAGGAAGATTTTCTGTCCTTTGATGCACTCCCCAAGCGACTGCAGTGGCCAGAGCTTAGCTGATATGAAGCCAGGGGCCAGAAGCCTCCTCCAGGTCTCCCACAGAACAGGCACAGGGTCCAAAAGCTTTGGGCCATCCTCAACTGCTTTCCCAGGCCACAAGCAGGGAGCTGAATGGGAAGTGGGGCCACTGGGATTAAAACTGCCCATATTAGATTCTGGCGCATTCAGGGTGAGGACTTTAGCCACCACTAGGCTATCATGCTGGGCCCAATACCTAGTAAATTTAACGTGCTCTTCCTTCCCCTTTTTAATATAGATTGAGGGTCAGGGAACTGCCTCCCACCACCTGTTTTGTTTTTTAATATATATAACTGGTTAGTTAAGAATGGTTCAGTTAGTGGGAGAATACACAACAGACTGACATACTAATGTACATCTTTGGATATTTACTGTCTGCCCTATGGAACAGGCTGCAGAAGTGTAGTTAATACTACTGCACCTGGAGTAGATGCTTAATACTTACCCCCAATTGGAGAAGTCATTTTGCAGTTCACCTCCAGTGGTAAAATATAAGAATGCAGAACAAGAACTTTTGAATTAACATAGCAAAGAACGGGCCCTGTGAAGCTGAAGTCCACCACTGTCCCTATATTGCAGAGTTAGAGTGAATAGCATTGCTTTAGGCTGCTTTATTTAATATTGGCAAAAAGTGCTAGTACTTTTTACTGTGAAGTATATACTCAGATTGTTTACTTGAAAGGTGAGTTTCAGAGACATCTTCCATCCACTAGTTATTATTAGTAATGAAAACCTCCAAAGGGAGTTGGAATTGCAATGAATTTTTTAATAGCATATTAAACAGTTTCTACATTATGAATATCAGATCGTGGGGCCTGGCATGATAGCCTAGTGGCTAAATTCTCTCCTTGCACATGTTGGGATTCCATATGGGCCCCTGTTCATATCCTGGTTGCTTGTGGCCTGGGCAAGCAGTAAAGGATAGCCCCAAAGACTTGGGACCATAGACCTACTTAGGAGACCCGGAAGAAGCTCTTGGCAGCAATCAGCTCAGCTGCAGCCGTTGTGGCCAGTTGGGGAGTGAACCAGCAGACAGAAGATCTTTGTTTTATTTTTTCTGAATTTTTTTTCTTCCAGAAAAAACATCTTGACCAGGTCTTTATGTAGCCATCCATCAGGTCTAACGCTCCTGTGCACTTCAGTGGGCTGCCCCTTTTCCATACAGATGATGCTCTGTCTTTGGATAAAATTTTGTTTTCTAAGATTATAAGTTTTTATTTGAAGGGCAGATTTACAGGAGGAGAAACAACTTCCATCCTCCGCAACTGGCTGCAGTGGCCAGACCCGGGCAGATCCAAAGCCTAGAACTGCTTCTAGCTCTCCCACATGGGTGCAGGGGCCCAAGCACTTGGGGCAGTCTTCTGCTGTTTGGGCACATCATCAGGGAGCTGGATCTCGGGAGTAGTCAGATTTGAACTGGCAACAGTGAGAGATGACCATACTGCAAGGTAGCAGCTTAAATACCCCCGCCCCCAAGGAAGAACTTTTTGCTTGGGAGGGCGGGGGGGGGACACAGTACTACACATGCTGGTAAGTCGTTACTGTAGAATTTACCTGCTTTCTCTATTCTACAAACTCTTGTTACCTCCCTAGAGTTTTAAATTCAACCTTGGGACTCTGGGCCTTATGACCATCTCATCTTTTTATCTTGAAAGAATCCTAACTTTCAGGTCAGAACTTAAAATTTGTGGATTATTACATGTATGCATTGCTCTGTAGATGAGCAAGAAATTGCAAAATCAGTTGTCAAGTAGTCAATCCTGGTTGATTATAACTTGTTGTCTTCCCCCACTAAAGCTGCTAGGAAGCCAGGTTGGGGTCAAGCACTGAGCTCCTGGCAGTTTGTTTCTCCTCCAGTAATTCTTCTAATACTATCACTTATTTCTAACCTCCAAGCTAAAGAACCCAGGTCATTTTTCATGTTTTCCCCCACTTTTGCCTGAGGAAAGCCATCTCAGTTACCTCATCTGCAGTATCTTTGACTCCAGAATGGGCTCCTTGTATGTAGACTTTCTTTAACTTTAAGCCAAGGGTTTTCATCTAGTAATATCAAGTCATATCCTCATTTGGGAGGTGAAGCATTAACATGCATAGCATTACCATTCATATATATGTGTATTTTAAGATTTGTATGTTTTTATTGGAAAGGCAAATATACAGAGAGGAAGATCTTCTGTCTGATGGTTCACTCCCCAAGCGGCTGCAACAGCTAAAGCTGAGCCAGTCCAAAGCCAGGAGCTAGGAGCTGCTTCTGGATCTCCCATGCGGGTGCAAGGACCCAAAGTTTTGGGCCGTCCTCGACTGCTTTCCCAGGCCACAAGCAGGGAGCTGGATGGGAAGCGGGCCGTCAGGATTAGAACTGGCGCCCATATGGGATCCCGGTGTGTTCAAGGTGAGGATTTCAGCCGCTAGGCCACACCGCCGGGCCCTATTTTAGACTTTTTATAAAAGTGACGAACTTCAGTGGGATGGGCAGTATGTTACCATCTCATACCCCTAGAAGTACTTTGGTGCTTCATATTCTGGAAGAACTTCCTCTCCAACCCCCACGCTAACAGGTTGAATCTATGCCCTTTGCTGTAGAGCGGGATCCCACAGCCGCTACTGTTAGTCTGCAACGCTTCTTCCTTTAGTTTTCTGGAGTATAATGCCTGCTGGGACAGTTTTTGCAGCACTCCTTTCCACCAGCATCAAGCATACAATTTCACAGATTTGTGTGTCATCCTTGTACAGGGGCCATGCTAATTTTTTCTGCGTGGTTCCAATTTTAGTATGCTCTGAAGTGGAGTAAGCATGCAGAAAGATTGATTTTACTTGAAAGTCAGAGAGGGAGAGACAGATCTTCCAACTGCTGGCTTGTCCCCCAAGTGGACATAACAGCCAGGGCAAAAAGGCAGTTAAAGAGGAGAAACAAAGACTTTTCATCTGCTGATTATACTCTCCAAATGGCTGCAAAGGTCAAAGACAGCAGCTTCTTCCAGACCTCCCACATGGGTGCAGGGGCCCAAAGACTGGAGCCATCCTCTGCTTTCCCAGACCACAAGCTGGAGCTGGATCAGAAATGGAGCAGCTGGGATCCAAACCAGCATCCTGTATAGGAGAGGATTAGCTACTACGTCACTGCAGTGCCTTATAAGCATTTCTTTAGCAGCAGATTGGACTAACGACTGGTATGAAGTGATTTCTGTCATAAAGGGGATGTGTATGCTTTTAAATAATCTTGTTCACCTTTGATCTTTTAACTGCCTGATGGGAGGGTAGGGGTACTGGTGAGAATGTATTGGCTGGTGCTTCTGTTTGTCATTAAGAATTTTTCATTACAGATTAGACTTGAACTCAGGGTGTAGGACTCTCACATACTCCCTTTATTTCTAACAGACCTGGTCCTCCCATCACCATCAGAACCCCTGGACCACAGTGGTGCACTTATTAACACAACTGAGAAACCAGCAGTGTGATCTGCCATTGTTGCAGAATCCATAGTTTACATTAGGGTTCACTCTGAACTTTTTGTGGAGCCTTCGGAGGTCATTTTAATGACCTCAAGGAAGGTTGGGAGTTTAAACATTGGAGAGGAAATGTTTGGGGGTGAAGTGAGAAAGTATTGCTCCTTCTTCCTGTCGGTAACCATGCTGTCCAGCGGTCAGGGTGGGGTTGTTAGAACATGGTTAATGTTTAACAGGGTAAGGAGTGGCAGAGCATATGTTGCTAGACACTTGGGCTCACATAATTGTGGCTCAGTAGGTCACACTTTGGTTTCTTTGACTCTGATTATCCTGTGGGCAGTAAGGTTATAGTTTATAACTGTTTTATTGAAGAAGAGATCGTGGAGGTGTACTTAACCAGATTTCCTGGTTGCTAATTGGCAGGGACAAAGTCATGGGGGAGGGTGGGGAGAGAAGCTTACTGATGTATTCCATTCACTCAACTTGTTCAACTTGGTTCTGTCTCACAGGAATGACACCAAGGAAGACGTATTTGTACACCAGGTGAGTGTAAAGATATTTGCACTTCTAGCTCAGGGTTTGTGAGATGGAAAGGATTGAATGTTTTCTCAGCTAGTATTCCTGGCAGAAGGTTAAGCCCAACCAACCAATGATTTTAGTTTCTATAGGAATATAGTGGAATCCACTTAAATATATATTTCAAATTGGTGTTTTTATAATAGCTGTAGCTTTTCTAGGGGCTGCATCTGCTGAACTAATTTACTAAATTTCCACACCTAATTTCAGATGAACAAATAATTTCCATCATTCTACACTCAAGCTACTGGTGTTGCTATTCATACCTAGAAGTTCAGCAAGATGATTGCAGATGCTGTTAGGTCTGCCTTCTGCTGAGGACAGGTTGGACAGGTGGGCACCAGAGCACTGGGGTCCTCAGAGTTGAAGGTTCAGTGGAAGGCAGTGTGATTTTGACAAACTTGAAAAATATACATGAGTTTTTTATATTGGCTTCCAGCATTTTCAGAGAAGAAAATTATTATAAGTTTAAATGCTACATGCTGACCTTCCTCAAGTATCACTTAAGTAAATGTTTAGTCTGGAAGTCGAACCTAAAGTTGTGCTCACATCGAGACTTAGGCAGTGGGCTTGGGTGGCAGTGTACTTCTAAAACGGACTGCCTATGGCTCTCTGGAGTGTCCTGTACAGTATTTACTGGCAGCCAGAACCCTAGCAGATAATCAGTCTCATGAAAATATGGAAAGACTTAAATTCTAAATGTGAATAAAGGATTGCTTAGACACAATTTTGAAACGGTCATTTAAAATTGGTATCTTGTTTGGCAAAGACATCTCTGACATAACTTCCTTCTGTATGTTTTAAAAGAATGTGCAGCCTTAGGAACAGTGACTTTGCAGTCTTGTTGCCTGTGTCTAACACTCTAGTGTTGGTGGGAGCTAAAGCTACTAAGAGTTTGAGAATTTTAGTTATCCATGTTTCTGCTATCCCCTATGACTGCAGATAATTGAGAGTTGCTACTTATGAAAGATGACAGTTTAGATGACAGGTGAGATCAAATTATTATTTAACAGCTCACCCAGTTGTACTGACATTGTGTCAGTGACCTGCTTTTACTCTGGAAGTGGTTTCAGCATGTAGTTGTTTCTTGGAACTTTGGCTGGCTGCTCAGATCTTAGTTGTGTCATGAAGGAGACTGCAGTTGTGGGCATTGTAGTTTTAATTGCCCTCAGATTTGTTGGTCGTCCTGCCTCCTCTGGAATGGAAATGCGTGAGTGCTCCTGTAGCTAACACATCACTAGGATGTAGCTGGGAGAGTCCCCCTCTGCTGCTTAGGAGCTATGAAAGTCCATCTGCAGTTGCAAGGTGTTAGCCTTCCCTCTTGGACTTTACCTTAAGGGTCTGAAGAAGTAGACAAACTGTTGCCAAGATTTACTGTGTTTGGGGGAGGTAATAACAGCCTCATGCGGTCAGATAATATATATATAGTAAATGGCAGAGTTAACATGTGAATTGCATTTCCACTGATGAGTTGGAAGGAATTTGGCATTTGTAATTGAGTTTGATGTTGAAACACAGGGACAGAGTTGGTATGGTCAACTTGAAGGATGTAAAACCAAACTTGCCTGTCATCTAAACTGGTTCTGTGTGGGGCTGGTTTTTACTATGAAGTGCAGTCTTTGGGGGATAGATCGATATCCTGACTTTGCTTAAAATCCATATATGCTTTTGCAAAAAGCATTCTTAAATAAATCTGTTGTCTTGTATTAAATTGCTTTAGTTTTGCAAAAAGTGGTAAAATGCTGGGATTTTGAAAGATTGGAATGTTGGTTGAGGCTGGGGGTATAGCATTGCTCCCCACTTTGCTAATCATACAGTTTGGTCTTATTTAAAGCAAATTTAAGATAAGTGTGTATCCAAGCTAAAGTAATACTGACTCTGGTACATTTTAAATGAAAATTCCCGCTATTCTCCCCTGTTAATCTATTTTTGGAATGTGATATTACTAGACTGCCATAAAGAAGAATAACCCCAGGAAGTACCTTCGCAGTGTAGGAGATGGAGAGACTGTGGAGTTTGATGTTGTTGAAGGAGAAAAGGTGAGGATGCTTTTTGTGTAAAGGTTTGACTTCGGTATGGAAATAATTTGGAGGTCTCATCCATTTGGATGGTTGCGCTCAGGTGGCCACATGAACGCAGGTACCTCGAGCCTAATGTGCTGGCTACAGTTAGAGGGCCATCTCTTCAGAACAGTGAGGAGCTGATGGGAAATCATTCCTGTGTACCCCTGACCACACAGGTCCCTGCCCCCTCCCTCTTCCCTTTGTATTGTTTGCCTTGCCATTTTGTTTTGTTTTGTCTCGACTTTCTGAAGCTTATTGAGGTGTTCTGATTTCCTTTGTCACTGTGTAATGGTTTTTGTAGGGTGCGGAGGCAGCAAACGTTACAGGCCCTGGTGGAGTTCCAGTACAAGGCAGTAAATATGCAGCAGATCGTAACCATTATAGACGCTACCCACGTCGTAGGGGTCCTCCACGCAATTACCAGCAGAATTACCAGAATAGTGAGAGTGGGGAAAAGAATGAGGGATCGGAGAGTGCTCCCGAAGGCCAGGCCCAACAACGCCGGCCCTACCGCAGGCGAAGGTTCCCACCTTACTACATGCGGAGACCCTATGGGCGTCGACCACAGTATTCCAACGCTCCTGTGCAAGGAGAAGTGATGGAAGTAAGTGTCACCAAATCCCAGCAGCAATGTGATGTGCTTCTGACGTGGATTGGTTTTTCCATTTCCTGGACTTGTCGCCCCAGGTGTGAACTAATCAGTGGGGATGTTTGGCTATAACAAAAGGAGCTAATGTAAAACGTGATTATAATTACTAACTTAGTAATTGCAATTACTAAATCAGAATTAAATCTGATTTAGTATTGTACCCTTCATGCTACTGATCCAGTAAGCTTGATTTCAATTGTCTCCTCAGGGTGCTGACAACCAGGGTGCAGGAGAACAAGGTAGACCTGTGAGACAGAACATGTATCGAGGTTATAGACCACGATTCCGCAGGTATGGTCCAGCTAATCCACTTGTATTTCAAAACCTTGTTGGGTGTGTTGATCATGCTTTTCCTGCAGTCCTTTTAGACTCCTATTAACACTTTCTTTCGTCAGATGCCTAAGAGGTGGACTTGGAGTCAGTTATCTTTGAGAATGTGTTGTTTGCATCTTTGGCACTGGGTAAAAAGTTTGTAGATGAGGTCTGATTGTTTTGTTTCACCTAGAACAGGTGAGAAAAATAATTTAAACCGAATTCTGGTAAGCCTGCTTCCTAGGAGGGAGAAAATACCGTTTTAAAGCAGTGGGATTAGCTGAAATAGACCACGGAAAGTCTCCCATCCCTGTGGGTGACCAGGATGGAGTGTCTTGTTCTACCTCTCCAGTGAGTAGCTAGATGCCTGGGTTCAAGTGTATTAACCAGAAAATGTAAGGTTTTTCTGTCTGCTTCTGTTCAGCCTCCCAAATATAAACTTCATTGTTGGCCAGTCCTATTTGTGGGATCTTGTGAAAGACTTTAAGTTGCTTGCTTTCTTGTGTATATTAAGCAAATATTTGGGAGGTTAGAGACGATTTGCAATTAGCCTCATGGGAAAAATAGAGTATTGTACTCAAGTAAGTTGTCCACTGTGGTTCTATTTTCCTAGCCATTTGAACAGTAAGCTCAGATTGGGAAAAAATAGGTATCAGTGGAGAATCGTGCTTGATTCCAGGTTAGAAACAAGCTCTGAATACCTTGCTTTTTAGAAAGCACCTCTCAGCCTGTGGCAAGTGGGTATTG